ACAACATAGCAATCCTGATTTAACCTACTCGACTCCGTCTGGTGTGAAGTTAATCACAAAATAGTCAAATTCCTGTTCAAATTATGTAGAAAAGCTAATTTTCAGGAAACAATTGATCTAAGATCTTTTAATGTTTAAAACAGTTTAAAAAAAACTAGGAGATTATTTTTCATTTTAAAATGTAAACTCCAGTCAATTGTTATACTGGAAATCATGAAAAGCAAGGTTTTACTTCAACTGCCCAATATTTATAATAATTCAGAAAAGGAGTATGAGATAAAAGATGCAATTTGGTTCCATATGGTCAAATGAACATAGCAGAACATTTCTAAAATCATATAACCTGGGGAAAAGTTTATAATATGATTAAATTCTACCCTGCATAATACACTCAGTAGACCACTGCAAAAGATAACAGTGGAATATGCTTGACAATTAATTTTTGTAGAACAGCTGTAGGCTTGAATATGTATAAGCTAATTTCAATGTAAATATTAAAATCTCTTATAAAACAGTATCTCTCAGATAGATGCAATCAAACAGAGTAAGTGCCAACAAGTTTGCAGGTAAACAGAACATCTTTTTTGATGATTTGCTTGGAAGTAACTCACGGATAGCCAACAATAGCATAATATTGTAAGATGAAGGAAAATTTGTTGCTATTTTTAATAGAAGTGAAATTTTCTTAATAACTGTCTTGAAATCAAATTTTAAAATGAAACTCCTAAAGCATTACAATATTTAAGGTACCCTAATTCAATCTATTCTCTAAAATGTGCACTTGATATAATCATTAATCTCAAGATGGCTCTAGTAACAGGCGTCAGACTATTTGGAAAGAGCACAATTCCTTGCATCCCTAGCATTTTTTGCATGACAGTTCTCTATCTTCTACCTTTGATCAAGAGAAGGAACAGAGTGCAAGAGAAAGGTAAAAGGGGACTTCTCTTTGGAAAGATCCGGCCTTGGAGTCAGGGCTTTGAGATGTGTTAGTGATTTTGGATCGATGCCTTTTTATTTTCTTGCAGGAATAAATCTGAGCAATGGAATGGCTTGCGATTGTCCAGCCAACCAGCAATATCAGATTTATCAGAAAGAAAGAATGATACTGGCTCAGAGGACTCCTGCAGTGGCTGAGTGGCAGGTTTCTGGGAAAGACATTCAAAAAAAAAAAGAATACACTTAGTGGTGGAGGGGAAAATATATATTCACATGTGTAAACTCAATAAATAATAATATGTAAAGAAAAAAATCTATAGTAATGGAAAGGGTGAATGCATGAGACAGATGATAAATAGTACTTCTATTTAAGAACCAAAGGGATGAAAGCTCATGAATACTAAATATTTGAATCCACTTTAAGCAGGAAATATGATTTTCCCTCAAATGAATGCAAACTCTAAAAATCAGCCAATGCTAACTTACTGTGTTCAGGGTAAAGTGAAAAATACGTAAATCTTCCATGAAGTGCATGCCCTTGTAACTATTCTAATGTAATTTTTTAATGAAGATCTATTTCCAGTGACTAAATGAAAAAATATATAGGAGTAAATGCTTGGGTTTTCTAAAAAAAAAAAAAATGACTTTCTATTCATGCATGATTAAAATAAATAAAAGCATTTTAGTGTAAGAGAAAAAATTAAAAGACAAGGCATTGTGATATAACCATAGTCATTCAACCATATCATGAGTCCATATTATAGTATTTTTGAATGATTTGCAAGTATAGTTATAGATATAAATTTATTTAGAAGCATCTTGAAGAAAAAATAACACCTTTTTCTAAAAAAGGCCCCTTTCATACATATAAGAATTCCAAAATTGAAAGCAAACAGTGCTTACATTACACCCATGTAGAAAAAAAAAGGATTTTTTTAAAATATATTTAACATATTTCCCCTAAGTTGAGTTTTACTAATCTTTTGCTTCTTGAATGCGAGAAAAAAACACCTAAGTTTTCAGAGATATATAGAGAGAGAAATATGGAGGGGGACCGCATATTCTTTTACAGAATGAAAAGCAGGACTAAGTTACTTGCATATAAGAAATGAAAACTGAACTTATTCATCACCTATCTATCAGGTATGTAAGAGTATTACTTCAATACTAGTGTATATATTCTATTTCAATAGAAGGTGATATTATTTTTCAATCATATCAGGAAGACAACTTTTGTATTATTCCTTTTGTTGGTAGAGGTTTTTTAATTGTCATCTAAAGAACCTCTGGCTATAATATTTCTAGACAAAATAAATCACTGACAATGAGACAAAAACCCTTCAGAATGACTACAAAATTCTCTAAATCTGTTTTTTCCCAAGCAAAAGAAGAAAAAAATAAAAAACAGGTCTTCTTCTGTTACAATTATTTTAAGAAATATCATAGATCTGCACAGCGGGATCTCCCCCCTCCCCATATTTTTATTCTGTTCACATAGAGCAGTAAATAAGGTGCATTCCTTCTGCTTCTTAAGAAATTAGCATTTCAAAAATATGCCACTTTCCCCTGAACTCCAAGCGTGTCTAATAATGCGAGAAGCAGACTGTCTTCCCTCGTTTCCTTAATTTGTTTCATCTAAAAGCAATTCACTCAACATCTTGTCGCCCTCTGGCAGCTTAGTTTACTTATCCGCACTTAATTTCTCATTTGGACCAAAACAAACTCCTCCAAACTGCTACTGACTGCTAACCGCGAGACTGGAGACACGCAGTATGTATTTACTTGGGAACGTACAGCCCACACCTCCACAGCCACAAACACACAGCGCCTCGCTCACACCCCAGAGAGCAACGTGGTTTTAGAAAAGCACGACGTTCAAACCAGCTGAACTTTCCCTGCCAGGTGCAGCAGAATGGGGGGTGGGGTTGGGGGGTGCAAAAGAAGTCCCTGGGGGCATTTGCAGTTTCCAGTGGATCACCTTAGCATGCGAGTTGCAATTATACCAGGGATGCACCCGAGAGCTTTTCTTTGTGCGGCCCTTTCATCTCGATCACTTTGTGTTTTGAACAAGTGAGGCTCGCCTTTGTGCCCCCAGAATTTCAAGTACAGAGTCACACACGGAGCAACAATGGCACGCTAATCCTAGCGCTCCAAATGGGCTCGCCTGTGGGTCTGACAGTTCGCCCGGGGAGGCGAGAGGAGACCAGCGAGGGCGCGAGGCGGTGTCGCCGGAGACGTGGAAGGGGACAGCTGCAGAACTAATTTGGATTGCATTCCTTGCAGAAATTCTGAAAAGGGCTTTTCGGCATAGCTCAACCCGGAGTCTCAGTTAATACCAAACCGCCCCGGACTCCGAGCCGGGTCCCCCAGCGGCCGAGGCTGAACCAGACACCCCCAGTAGGTCGCCTCGTAGAAATTCCTCCCAGCTAAGCCTGCTTGTCAGTCGTAACTGCTTTTGAATGGGTCAATGTGCGTAATCAACCCATTGAGGGGAAATATGAAGGGATGCAGAGTGGGGAGGCAGATAAAAAGGGATGTATCTAAGAGGCCGCCAGGAATCTCCAGTCCCCGTTGGTGTAATTCCGGAGGTGGCTGCAGCGCGGGACCTGGTATGCATGAAGAATTTCGGAGTAATTGGGAGGGTGCAGACCGCCAGCACAAACAGCGCACATTGTGCCATTCGAAGGTCATTTTGAAAGGCTCAACGATTGGAAAACTTGTTATTTACTAGGCTGGGCGGGGGAGGCGTCGGCGGGGGCGGAGCGGGCAAACTACAGCGCGCTGTTTTCTCGGTGAGGTCAGAAGGACACCCTCCGGGGGCCTAAAGCTCTCCCTCTCGCCACTCCCGGGGGCTTTATCTCCTCTCGCTGCCTCCCACGCTCCCGCGACCAGCCCCGGATGGCTCCGGAAATCTCCGGCTCTCCAGGAAGGCCCCCCCACCCCCGGCCACGTCAGACCCCGGCCCTCCTCGGTCCCTTCGCGTCCCATTTCCATCCCCGGGAAACTCCACTGGCAGAAACTTTGAGCTCCCTGGCGCTGCAGGTGCCGCGCTGCGCCCTGCCCGCCGCGGCGCGCCAGCCCCCCGCGCTCGCTCTCGGGGGTCAGGACCACCTTTGGCGGGTCCCAGCACCTGGCGCTCCAGCTCTCCGGCGCGCAGGGGCCGCGCGCCCAGCTCCGCCGCGCCCGCCCGGGGTTAAACCACTTAGTGCGACGGGTCGGCTCGGCGGCCGCGCCGGGCAATGAGCAGAGAAGTTGGAGGGACTCTGGCCAATAGCAAGTTGAACTGCAGGAGGAACTCTTCCTGGAGCCAGCACAGCCACCGGCGGGAAGGCTGGGCTCCCGGCTCAAGTGTGCCAAGCCTTTTTTTTTTTCTTTTAAGAGGTCAGGCAGGCCAGTAAGCTCCCCACAAATCGATCGGGCTAGCACTCGGGCACGCTGGCTCCAGGGGTCCAGAGTTCTGCGCCCCCGGACCGAGGTGCGCCCGCCCGCCGCGCTCCAGCTGCCCAGGCTGGGCTCCAGGCAGGGCTGACCCCGCCAGCTCCGGCGACTGGGGGCGCAGTGGCCGCCAGCAGCACACACAGGTGCCAAGCCCGGCTCTCCGCGCTCCGCTCCCCACCGCCCTCCCGCGTCCAAGCGGCCCAGCTGGCACCGCCAGGGGAGCCCCTCACTCCCGCGGCCCCCGCGGTGGGCGCTTCCCCGGGGAGCACCGACGGGGAGACACACGTCTCCGCCGACTCGGGATTTGGGTCTCCCCCGCCTGCAGCACCGGCGCGACCCGAAGGGATCCCGCTTAGGCGCGCAGAAAACGCGCAGGAAAGAAAGAAGGGGCTTAAGGAGAGGGGCGCAGAGTGATCGTCCACAGTAAATAGCACACAAAGGCTAAGTTTGGGGACAGAGAGAAGAAAGACAGGAGAGCCCAGGGAAGCAGCCCTGGTGGAGGGGTCGCCCCGCCTGGGAGCCAGCGGGAGGCAGGGTGGGCAGGGGGCGAGGGAGCCTCCCGACGCCGCCGAGCCGGAGGCAGCAGGTTCAACAGCTGGAGCGCGAGAAAGCAAGCGACCCACCTGACTGAGAGGCGCCGGGCTGGACGGTCCCCGCTGCCACGAGAAGACTCACCCAGACCCACAGTCCTGCCGCCAGCTTCATTTTTTGGAGGTCTCAGATCCCGTGCTGACAATTACATGTCCAAATGGCATATCCCCTCGGGGGCACGCGGAGGATGGCCCTCTGCCCGGCGCGCCGCGCGCTCGGTGCAGCGGCTCCCGGCGCGGGCGAGCGAGTGGGCGCCCGGGGGTCCAGGGCCCGGGGCCGCAGGACCCGGAGAGGGTGCGCGCGAGGGCGCGGATGGAGGGTGCTCGCGCGTGTGCGCCCGCCGCTTCGGGCCGAACTGTGCAGCTATTTCCCCGGGTGAGCCTTGGTCTTCTCGCTCCCTCACTTTCTCTCTCACTGGTTGGTCAACAATAAAAAGGAAGGGGGTGGAAAAAGGTTTCCAAAAAAAAGTTGATTGCAAAGAGGCGGTAGGTTTCCGGCCTCACCCCCCAGCCGGGCTATGTTCGGCTCCCTTTCCAGTTTCCTTGCACCTCCAGTCCAAATTGGGAGGGGACAGGGGGGCGGGGGGAGCGCTTTGCTTCTCTCCCGATCCTGTCCTTCTTCTTGTCAGCTTTCCTTACACTTGTCCGGCGGCTGCGGTAATTAAAGCTCCGAGCGTCATTTCCAACGCTCCGCGGTCTCCAGCTGCAGCCCCACAGAGAAATTAATAAGACTCCAGGAGAAAAAAAAAAAAAGTAGGGGGGGGGGAATAAAACAACCCTCCACGCAACCAGGCAGGCTCTGCTCTGCCGCGCAAACCCCGCCCCGCTCTGACCCAACTGGCCACGCCTTTTCTCCCGCCCCCCCCCCAAAGGGAAATCTTATTGGCTCAGCCACTCCCCAAAATCGTGGGCCTTAGGAGTTGGGAAAACACCTGTCTGGGAGCGGGAGCTGGGGGTGGAGGCGGGGGAAGCTGGGTTTTAAAGGCTCACCGGAGGCCACAGACTGAAGCAGAGGCCCGGGACAGCAGGCCCGCGGGGTATACAGGCGCCCAGAGGGGTGCTTACTGGAAAGATTTTATTTTTTAACCAGAGAGTCACTGTTATCTGCATTGTCCCACGGTGCTCATCCACCGACGACTAGACTAGACTTTCCATAGAAATAGAAGCTAACGCTGTTGCAGCAAAAAGACCCTCCCCCTGCTTTCTAACTCCTCTTCCTTCACACTCCGCAGTAGTTTAAATTAATTGCAGGTCAGGCAGTCCTCATCTTCTCCCCAATTACCAGTCTCCCACCATTCCCCACCTCCCAAATTGAAGCCCCGGAGGAGTCGGACTAAAACTTAAAACTCCCTCTATGTAGAGCTACTGTCTTTGACTTCTAGACTTTGTGGGTCTTTTTATTTTTGCCTTGGATTCTAGCACAACTTGTTTTAGGGTTGAAGCTCATTAAGCAGTTTCTAGTCCAATATTACTGATTTGGCTCTAAAGACTAGAAATTTTCCCCACAGCTGCTCAGTCTGAAAGAACGAAAGAAGGGCATGTCAGCAAATAACCAACTCCAAATGATTAGGCTTCATCTACAATGAACCCAGTTTTAGGCCTCTTCCCCGATCCCACTTTGCAAGTGCATGTTCCTGGACTTTTCTTGATCCAAAATTTCCTGGGATTGGGTCCTATCGATGTACATATCCCTTCTTTTTCACAGCTCTGAAACTATACCCAGGACAGAGGCCAGAACCTCCTGGTGGTAGTAGGTTATTGGTTTGCAATTTGCACAGGCATTCTATGTATGAATTATTTTCCTTTCTTGATTTTGCTAGAAGCAGCAAATACATAAATAAAAAGTATCAGGGGAACTTAAAAAATCAAACCACCCTGCCTCCTCACTCATCATTTGAGCCCTTCCTATTCCTCCTGCATCTTTTATCTATAGCCCGTATCCCCTAAGAATTTCCATGGAGCTGAGAACTAAGAGAAATAACAGCCTCATCCCAGGAGTCTGAACCCTTCCTTCTTAGGCCCACCGCAAGTAATAGGCACTGGGGAGAGGCCAGGCAAGCTGAGCATGCTGTTTTCCCCAGAGCAGCCTGGGACCAGAGGAGCTAAGCCTAGTGCAGACTATGGTGACTTGACCAGAGTGGTACTAATTGCGGCAGGACTGTGAACACTGCTCTTCGGGAGTATCTATTTTTTATCACCCTTCCCCATCTTTTCTTTTATCAGTCTTTTCTTGTGTCCTTTCCCTAAACCTCTTCTGCTTAGGATAACTCTCAAACACCTCTTCCATGAATTTCTTTGAAATTTCCATTTTGTTCCCAGACTACTGATTTAATAAAGAGACTTCTTTTTTAAAGATTTATTTAGTTATGCATACAAGAGCTGGGGTACATACCAGAGGTGTGGGGGGTGAGAGGATTCATCAGAGACAGAGTGGGGAAACAGAATAGGCAGATCGACCAAGTACACTGCTGAGGGGAGCAGTGGGCGAGTCAGGAGAGGTCTCCTGGGCCATGTGGGTTGCTTCCTGGCTGGCAGGGATCAAACTCGTGCAGCAAAGGCTGCCGATAGCTTCACAGGCTGCATCTTAATCCCTTGCGCCACCAGGGAGGCCCCAATAAAGAGACTTCTTGCTTTTAAAAATGTTTAAGTTTCTGTATAAAAAATACAAGTCTCGTTTTTAATGATAATTATGTTTTAAGAAATGAAGAAATAGAGTATGTATTTTAGCTTGAGGAAAAACTTATTGTTTTTTTTCTAATTCTGTGGCCAATGTGATAATTTCTGTTCCCCCTTCAATTTCCTAGCTCTCCTGTGACAAGATCTCTCCTGTGCACCCTGGTCTCACCCATAGATCTAAAATAATTTTTGCAGCGGAGGGATTTCATTTCTATTCATTGCTTAAAAACAACAACAAAAAAAAACTTAATCTTTAATTTTTGGATGGTAGTCAGCTCATTCAAGGTGTCCACCCATTGTTAACTGACACATCCATAGTTCCTTTTAACTTTCAACGATTCTACTTAGCCCCATTTTCCTGGCTCAAACTGATTGAAACAATGATTGATGCCTGTCCAAATTTAGGTTTCCAACCGGCAAACTAATAAATGAATTGGCATAAAAACTCCAATCAACAAAAATCATCCTATATTTGATATTGACTGGTTTACCCAATCAAAATATATCTTGAATAATTTGAATATAAGAAGACTTCGAGACTTAGGAAGGTGGTAAGTTGTGTGAGCAAACTGGAAGAGTGAGGGAGTAGAAGACAGACGAGAGTCAAGAATTAATTATTTATGTGTTTGCTCTCATTTGCTCGCCATTTCAACTGAGTCATTATAAAAGGAACACTAGAGTAAGGGATGTTTGCTAACTGATGTGGAAAGGACATGCTAACGGGATTGCTAGAACATTTCTGGGATGGATTTCTTCAATTTACCATATTTCTTTACTATAAATCCATATTAGCTGAATTAATTGAAATATGTTGCTGTTATTTGCAACCTGAGGGAATGAAAACAAATCTGAGTAATCCGATGTGTTCCATAACAAACCACAGGTGACAACCTAGAATTATCTGCTCAGTGTTTTGTTTTGTTTTGTTTTTTTTCCTAGTAACTCCCTTTCATCAGTTCTACTTTTTTTAAAAAAGATTTATTTATCTATGCATACAAGAGCTGGGGTACAGGCCAGAAGTGTGAGGGGGTGAGAGGATTCACCAGATACAGAGTGGGGAACAGAACAGGCAGACTGACCAAAATACACTGCTGAGGGGAGAAGTGGGTGAGACAGGAGAGGTCTGCCTCGCCATGGGGGTTTCCCTCTGGCCGGCCAGGGATCGAACTTGTGCTGCAGAGGCCGCGGATTGCTTCATAGTGCTGTGCTTAACCCCTTGTGCCACCAGGGAGGCCCAGTTCTACATTTTTAACTTAGACCTGCCTCCATTGTACAACATTCCCCACATAATACCTTGCTCTAAATTAGACTATTCAAAATACCACGTTGAACCAATCAAAATACCCTGCTTGTTGTAGATGGGAAATGGTCAGGCCCACTGAGTACCTTCCCTGGGATTCTTGTACGTGAGAAAGAATTATTTCGTATTTAGTCATTTACTGGTAGCTTCAGAAATACAAAAATCCAAAGCTCGTGTGTCTATATTTTCTTCTGTGTTGGGATGACCAGGCTGCAGTAACAAAGAGTGAAACCATTTGAAAGGAGCAAAAGCCCATATACTTCTGGAGAATATTCAAACTTACTGTTGGATTAGTTGTTCAAACCTTCTCTTTCCTTAAGATACATCAATATTTGTTTTGCTACTTGAAACCAGAGAAGCTCGAAATGGTGAAAAAGTTTCTTGAATCTGATAGAGATCATATAGCCCTCATGCCCCTTGAGGAAGGTATCTTGATATGGCCTGTAATCTTCAGTTTCTCTTGCCAGAGTGTCATGGTTTCTCTTGACTGAAACCAACATAAGAGATTGGTTTGGCCTTTACTGATTTCTCATATCTCCCTCTTCAATGCATTTCTTCCATTAACAAAAGCATTCAAGAAAAGTATTATTATTGTGAGTGACATGTTAACGGTGGGAAAAAGAACACACTGATCTCAATGTTTAATGGTGAATTAGCTATCTAACATGTCCCAGAGTCTTAAAGTTTACTTCAAACTTCAATTTATTTCTAAAACTACTCTAAAGATAAGACTAGTGCCTGCTGCTTTAGTTATTTTGCTATTGGCCACAGATATAAATTTGAGACAAATATCAAATAAGAAAACAATACAAGACCTTATTGTGAATCAAATTTCTTCTTCAGATTTTATAATAAATAAGGGATTCCAATTTTCCCTCCCTGCCCATAATCATCTTCCTTACCATCTTTTGAAGTTATCGTGTGATCACCAGCACCTCACTTCATATACTTATGCTTATTTCATCATCTTTAAAGGAAGGAATTGTTATAGCTTAAATCTAAGACATCATGACTTTGTAATTTAACAATCACCTACTAAACACAGGTCATAATTTCCAGTCTTCAATTGTTTCTTACATTCTTTCTCTTTTTCCCATACACCCCGCCACACAACACTTTATTTGGGACACCACCACAGACACCTCTTAAAATACCTTAGGAAAATATCCAAATACGCTTCCTCCTATATTATTGTGAAATAGTCAAGACAAGAAGAAATTTTGGTAAATGCCA